ATTGAACTTTGTCGTGTGTGGTGAAGAAGATTGCACTTAGTTTTATGATGAACATACATATTATCATGGGGATTAAATCATACTACTTCTGAGGAAGAGAAAACAAACCCCAAAAACGACAGATCTGAATTTTGAAGGAGGTGTCAGATAAGTTTGTTTTGGCAACTTGATGACATTTGTGAAAGAGCATGGTCTGCTGAGAACATACTGGACACTACATTCCCTGCAGCTTTAGTGTTTTGATCTGTTTTCAAAGCAGCACACATGATACAAGTGAAATCCTGTAGTAGGGCTATTCCTTTTTTTTTTCTCCTGAGGAAGATGCCAGGTTCTCATTTATACAGCAGTACTGGTAGGAATGTACAGGAGTGTAACATGGAGGGGTGTTCCTGGGTAATGGTGATCCATTTTGCCAGAAGTCATACTGTCCCTTTTAACAGTTGTGTTCTTGCTTTGCAGCTAATGTTGATTTCATTGCAGCAGAAGTTACTCCAGTTAATGTAAGCAAGAACTGGTCTATTTGTCAACAGTAAAAGGAAAGTGTTTACAAATGGCTGTGACTTACCTGACACTGCTATGAACATACTAGGTCAGCAGTGTTTGGGGACCATGTACTTGACAAACTAGCTTGTGTGACCTATGCAGCTTCATTTTATGAACACGGTGACTTTGTGGGCAAGTCCTAGAACATTGCTGTTTCCCCTAAATTCTTGCCAATGCATCATTTCCCCACCCCGCACCCCACCCCTTCCTCTTTCTTGGGCTGCTCTTTCTTGGTCCATTTTGAGGTGTTGTAGAAAAATCAATGGCTGATGAATTTAATGGAGCTTTAGTAGCTGTGTAGCAGCTATTAAGTTCCAATGCTTTTAGGAGATACACTGCAGTAGTAAGACTTCACATGGTTAAATGGGTTGTCTCTATTTGGTTTATTTAATAAACAGTTCTTCAGTAGAACCTGGTGCCAAGTGTCCTGTTGCCTCATTTATAGGCCTCTACCCACTCTGTCCTCAGGATTCTCTTTAGAACCATACTTCGACTCCCGTAAGATATGAATGTAGTGTGTGTATTTTGGGACAAATGCTGAGCTGTTAAAACTGACAGACTGATCTTGATGAAGTTGCTTTGTCCTCCATTTCTTCTTCAAAGTTTGTTACTCCAGTTTACCCCGTATAAAACTAGATTGTAAGCTCTTGAGCAGGAACTGTCTTAGTTTGTAAAATTCAGCTTCTGTACAAAGCAAAGTCTACTGAATAAAAACAAAACAAAACTAAAGCTGCATTTGAGTGCAGCACTGTTGGTGGTCGTTCAAAGTCTTGTGTAGCGTAACAGCAGTATGCCACGTCTCTTCTCTGACAGCTTACTTGCTGTATGCCTGTACGTGAGTGTTCAGCCTTACATTTCCTAAATGATGCTTCAGGTATTGCATTCCCATAAAGTACCAAACTTGTGTTTGTTTCTGATGGATGCTTCTCTTGAAAAGCTATGGATCTAAGAGCAGCTCGCAACTCATGCTGTTCTGTGGTGCCTACAGGTCTTGCTACCAGCAATAACGGGGAGGGTAGTCTATGCTTTGTGATTTCCCCACCGTCCAGTGTTTTTCTCTATACTTAATCTGACCTTTTCTAACCTCTTGCTTTTCATTATCAATAACAGAAATGCAGATTACTACTCAAATGGTATGGACTACTTAATATTTACCATGGGAACTATTTTAATAACACCCACATCGGTATTTGCATTTTTTTGTTGCTATATCAACAGCCCCATCCACAATCCTCAGCTTTGCAGTTTTCTAGCAGTATAACAAGTCTTGAAAAAAAAGTGCTTCAGAGAGATGCTTTTCTCCATGTTAGTATTCAGTAAGATAGAACACAGCTTTTTCACTAGACATTTGGCTCCAGAGTAAGCTTGGTACCACATCATGTCTTTTTACACAGTGTAGTTCCTTGTTTTTACCCTTATAATTTTGGGTTCTTGAAAGTTACCGATCTATCACCAAGAAAGCCAAAATAGACTTCAGTCGGGGGGTTCCCATCTTTTACAACGTTTTCGGTTACAAGTTTTCTGTAACAATGCTGTTTTCCTGAATAGCTCGACTCCTGTACAGTGTCTCCTTTTTGTGTATAGGTTGAAAATACAGTCTTAAGGCCATTGTATGAAGCATGTTAAAAGTAGCTTCAATAATTTCGTCTTGTGAGGAAAGCTTGCTATAAAACCTGCCCTTTCCTTATCTGTATAGCCTAACTTTCACCATTTGAGGATGTGAAAACACAAGGTGTAACCAAGACTAAGCCGTGTTTGGGGTTTGTTTTGTTTTGTTTTTCTTTAAACCTGGGCTAGTCACAGAAAGGGAAGACACTTTAAAAGTATTAACAGTTTTTAGGTGAACCTTAATGGCAGTCTACTAAAATGGAAAAAACAGGATATTGGTCTGCATTCGGCCTACAGTTCTGTATTTTCTGTGGGTAGGTAGCTGAAGGTTTGAGAAAATTATGTAGTGTATGCTCAGTGTGTGTTACTGGCACTGTTGTAACTTATGGTCCACCCAAAAGTAATAATTGACCAGAGAGGTTTTGTAAGGGTATAGCTGCTAGTTGAGTTCTCAGAGATTGAGTTTCATACATAAACAACTTAAAGAAATACAGTTGTTGAATAATTATGATAGTGGAATTACCTGGTTCATGGTACTTTCCAGTCTGCAAATTTACAAGTAATAGAATGGTGTTGGGGAAATGGGGTTGGGGCTGATGTCCAACATGCTTCCTTGTTTTCAGCACATGCCAAAATTTAACCATGTAATCTACCCAGTTGGGTTTATGCTTTACTTGATTAGGAGCTGGCTTTCTAAGAGTCTGTAGAGCTTGCTCTCCTGCTACGGAAGGAGTGCACACCAGGTTTAGCCACTTTAGGTTGGTTTTTTTTTTTTTCCTCCACTTGTGGGACTGTAGAAACCTGTGAGGCCCTAAAACAAACACTTGGGTTTCTGGTTTTATTGGTTATGGGACTAATCTAGACTTAAAGATCTGGTCCTGCAAAGCCTACGTGCATAGACTTTAAAATGCTGCTTGTATCATTTAATTAAAAATTGAAATTATGCTGACTCAAATGTGTACTATTTTTTTTTTTTCCCCCAGAACTAGAAATAAAGTTCACAATTCATCATATGTATCTGTTAGCCATTGCATGTTTTGGGTGAAGTTCATGTACTAGCAATTAAATAAATTTCTTGTGAATACCAGTTGGGATAGATATGTTTCACACTGATGCTTAACCAACAGCAAGAAATTTCAGGGCCTCACTAGTGAAAGTGTCCGCTATTAATTTACACTATCAATTTGAGGCTGTGCAAAACTGATAAATAAAAGACCAGATGCACACATTTATTTAGAAAAGTCTTTTAATATAAAAAGCAGAGCAAATTATTCCAACTGGCTGATTTCATTATGATAATTCAGTGCATTTGGAGGCAGTGCTCCCTTTCCAGAAAGTACCACTTGATGCTACCAGCTACTGTAAACACTGTAAAGTGCAAAGAAACAACATGATTTACAAGCTAGGCACAGTTTACTCGTTCAAAAGGTATAATTTGTCATTTAAACTTGTATTGCATATATGTGTACTTATTATGGGCTTGGTGCAAGTGTTTTTTTTAACATACCTGACCATAAAGTTGCTGCATTGTCATGTCCTGACCAGTGAGATATTTTTTTTTTAATATCATTTTTCTGGGGTTTGTTTATAAAAGATATAAAAAGTATTTGTTGCTAACTAGTTGTTAATATTAGTAATTATTTTAATATCTTACCAACTAGTATGCCTCTTAACATTCCTTCCTTTCATTACATGCCTTTTAGGCCATCTTTTTTGCAGACCCTTTTCAGGTTGTAAAATAGAAAGGATCAGCTGTTGTGAATAAGAATGTGAGTGAATAAAATGTAGTCTTTTTTCATAGCACAAATAAATATCAAAAACACTATTGGAGTATAACCTCATTACCAGAAGTACAGATAAATAGTAATTTGGTTCAATGTACTTTAAAGATTCGGGGGAAATCTAAAAAAAAAAAAAATCCATAACATTGAAGATACTTAAAAAATACCCATTTTAAAAAGCTAAAAAGAAAAACTTCAGTACTTCTTGAAGAAGGTATCCAAATGGGAGGAAAAGGGAAGGTACACAAGTAAATATATCACAGACTAGGAAACAGAACAGGAACTCATTCACGATCGCTCATTTTCAGAGAAGAAAGCTGACAATGATTCAGTTGCAGAGGATGACAGTAAGACAATATTGAATCAGATACTAATTATTTTTCAGAATCTTTGCAGATTGACCATATCAGTTGTAAAGTTAACTGGTACACTATGTTTGCTTGAAGCCACGATGGTGAAAGTAGTTGAAAAACGCAATAGCCTCCTGGGCCTCTCTCCTCAAGGGGTAACTAGGAAAAGCAGAAGAGTTCTGAAGAGATGCAAAGCCCTGAGTATCTCAGGAATACATAAATCCACAGTAAATTTAAGGTGAAAATGAGCTACAATTTTTCTTTTGGTGCCAAAATAATAAGGTAATTTTCTGTATGAAGAATCAAGTACTCTAAACCACATTCCTCTTCCATGTGTAACTTTGAAAGCTTGCTTTTTTTCCCCCCACTGATGTTCTGTGCTCCCCCCATCATCAGAAACTAAATCCCTAGTTTTACATAAGCCTATATAGCTACACTTATTCTAATTAAAACTCATTCAGAAGCCTCAGCTGGTAGACTTTCTAATAGATCACAGTTGTCTGGGTTTGCCAGACCCTTGAACGTGCGTGCAGTCTTCCTCCTCAAATGTAGTATTTTCTGTTTGTACTACTGTAACCTCCAGGCTTCATGCAAATATCCTTATCTTCCAGGAAAAATAAAACTTAAGTGATCTTCAACCATCTTATTTTTGCTTCTGTGCTTTTTCATTATCTTGTTTCTGTTCTGACTTGACCAAGTGCTTGGGTATCATGAAAACACTGCCATTGCTACTGCAATGAATGACGTATTGGCATGGGTTAACAGGTCTACCCTGGTCATCACTCAATCTACTGAAAATGTCACGATACAAGTTCTTTAACTTTCTCTTCATCTGGCTGATTGATCTGCTACACTGAGAGTGCTCCTTTTTCAGGCTCTCCTTTTGTGTTTGAAGCTTACACACATCCTCTTCCAAGTTAAGAATTGCATTCAGTTTACGTTTACGACAGTTTTGGGCAGCAACTTTGTTTTTCCCTCTTCGTCTGATGTTACGTAGAAGTGATACCTGAGTATCTGTCAGATGGTTCTTTGCTAGCATGGTGTTAAAGGAGTCGACGGGCATGCTCACAATTTCATCTGCTGAAAATGGTATTCTCAGAGCTTTTGCATGGTGTTCATCACTGCTAAGGTTTGTATCAGTAGAATTATGGCACCTATACTTTACTTCTTTTGGTTTCTCTATCCACATCTGCTGCTGATGCTCCAGCATGGATGCTGCTTGACTTGGCAGCTGATTATAAGTGTGCTTATGAAGAAACTGCTGAAGTGTAGCTTCTCTAGAGCACTCTGAATCACCTGGATATTCCACATGGCCATATTTACTGTTTTCTTGGCTATGGTCACCAACAGCTCCTAAGCCATGTGAAGAAATAGATTTAACATCTCTGCTGTACCCAACAGTGCCTTCACTGCAGACTGAGTAAGAGGTGGTGCTGTGACTTGAATTCAAAGGCAGTCCTGAATCTGAGCCAGGTTCTTCAAAGAGCTGCGAAACTTCTATAGGATCAAAGCCTTCCTCCAAAGCCAAAGACATGAGTTTAATTTCATCAAAATTATCATCATGGGCTGTTATGTTTCTAATGTCAGCAGCTGAAAACAGCCCTGTCAAATCTGACCCATGAAGTAATGATTCTGGGTTTGTGATATCAGAACTTGACTGAGGAAAAGACTCTTGCCTTTGTAAATGTCTTGTTTCTGAATTTGATCGAGTGGGGTAGTCTGTTCTTAGAAGCATGGCATCATGAGGACTGAAACAGTGGCAAAGTGTCTGGGTCAAACTTATGTTGTGGTGTGAGGAAGATGGGTCTTGGCCTCTACTAGGAGTAGCAACTTTTATATCTTCCAGTAAACTCACCTAAAAGATAATGGGGGCGAAAAATGGGATCTTTTATAAAATGAATGCCTCTGCGTTCCTCACCTACACACTTGATCAATTTATTTTTTAATATTCCACTATTTGAATCTATTAAAGTCAAAATTCTATACGTTAAGCTCTTCTAGCTATCATGAATATGTACACAGCATAACCTGTGTTGGCATATGGCAAGAGTAAGCAGGAAGGGTGCAGAAGAAAGTGACTGAAGGGATGGGAGGAGGAGGATTCCTGAAGGACAGTGCGAGACTGATGAGCGTTAAGAGGTGGAAATGGGATTGTTGGGAAGCGTACATCAAACTATAGCCTGTGTGTTCATCTAATCTGGTCTAAGAAAAGGTCCTTCTAGGAGGGACAGTCCTGGGTAGTGGATTTTGATGATCATCTGATTCCAGGGTGAGCTGGTTCAAGGTGCTGAACTGTTAGAAAATTAACCTGGCAAAGAGGATAAATAGCTCACTGGGCAGGACCTAACCAGTGAGAACAGTGGTGTAAGAAGAGGGGAGGAGGACATGAACCTTAAGGTGGTGCTGAAACATTCTCACTTCTTTCAGTTTATAAAGCTTTTGGGGCTGTGAGCTGTCACGTTTGGCTTAGCTCCTTCTTAACCTGATGTCTATTGTCTTCAGATTTCAACTCAACTTCTTTACTAACCAGTTTGAAGGAAACATCCCCCCCACAGATCACACCTTCTGTGGATGTCTTTTTACTTTAAATTGCTATTCAGTTTTGCTTTATAAAAATAAAGCTGCTGTATGATCCCTCAGCCCTGAAGTCCAAATAATAAACGAGTACTGCAGTAGCATTAAGGCCCACCTTTTCTGGGCCTGGGTTATACTTGCTGGGTCCTAGAAATACAAAGCCACTGCGCAAGATCACGTCAGGGCATTTGTTGATGAGTACTCATAAAATAAATGGATACAAAAATCTTGAGAACATAAATACATTGAGTAGGAACAGTATGGTTGCTCCATGGCTGAGCATTCCTACTGTGGTGCAGTAAAGGACTTTTCTGATTGTGGTTCATTGAACAAATAATGTAAAAAGCACTTTCCACAGGGAAGGAATGATGTACCATAAACACCAGAATGTCTTAAGTTATCTACTATGCTTACTGGGAGCACAGGTAGCAGAACACCTTGCCTTATTTCTCCTTCTCGCCTTGTACTAGACCATCTGTAGTCTGAGAGTTAGCACTGGTATTTGCCAATTAAGCCCTTGAAAATAAATATTCTTAGCAAGTTAACTGTTAAAAAATCCCCCACACTGTAAAGACCTGGTACCTGGAAAAAACAAGCAATCCATTTTCAACAGATAGATTGTCACAAGATGGCAGTCATTAAGTCTTAAATAAAATATGCAACTGTGTATTGTTATAGCTATATAAAGGCTACAGCCGGATTCCTTTTAAATTATGAAAAGAACACAGAAAACTAAACTGATAAACTTCTGAACCTTGATAGCGTGGAATCCATTACCAAAGCTGAACAGAGGAGGAGGCTAATTTATGGGCTGGGAGAGGCCCTATCCAACCCGGAGATCCCCAAAACTAGGTGTTCCAGAGAGAAACATGAAGCTATATGGAAAACACTAATGACCCTGTAAGGCTCCTGCAAGGGGAAGCATATGTAAGATGCCCTTGGAGTGTTGGTAGGGAGTAGCTTCATGGTTAATGATTGCTATGAGCTGTGGGAGAGGAGGGAGACTCCAATTAAGGTAACAACTGGGGTTTTTTGTGAAGATGGGCATCCAGAAAGTAAACAATAGTATCAGAGGCCCAGAAGATTTAAAAAAAAAAAAAAACAGAAAACAAAATGGTTTTGCCACTAATGCTAACTGACCTGATTTGCAGCAAAGATGGGTCTATTCTTGAGGGAAGTATACTTTTAAACACTTGACCCAATATTTATGGCAACTCTAAACTTTGTCTGTAAATGCTTAATAACTTAGCGTTGCTCTAGAGAAACACACCAAGAGCTGCTGTGTAAACATGAATTGGCATTAGGTTTCAGTGGCTCCATCCAACTTTGAACACCAGGTGACAGAGAAGAACAGGACTTTGCAGTTTTCAAATACCAGACAAATTTCTGGGAAAAATTTTTTTAGTAGAGCCAATGACAGCTGCTGTAAAAGGTTGAAACTAGCATCTTTAACATCTTCAGGCAAGTTTTACTGCATTGATTTGCTCTTTTTTTTTTTTTTATTAGACAAAACAAACTAAATCATTCTCCAATAATCACTGACTGTATCCCAATCTATTAGCAATATAGCTGTTTTCCCATTTACCTCTAGCATGTTTTCCATCTGCGATGACAGAAGCTGTAAACAGCCATCTAAGGAGAGAAGGGAATCATCATGGTTGTGGTTGCTCTGTGACAGAAGAAACAGAAATGCTTTGTAAAGCACAGTTCTTTCATGTAAAAGGAGGTAAAAAACAAAGTCCAAGAGGAAACAGAGCACAGGTCTGTGAAACTCTGCTGCTGACCCTGCCATCAAATCTTCATCCTGATGGGAGATGTCATGTTGTTAGAACGAGCAGAATAACTCCATGGCAAAAGCATCCACAACAGCGGAACCGGGCTTTCCTCCTCTCTGAGGCTGCACCTATTCCACCATTGTGGAAAAATCAAGTATTTTTTCAAAGTCTAGCTGCCAGGGAAGTGGTGAACAGAGGGGCTGGAAAGAAAACTGGATTCGATGTTCTCAGCTGAGGAATGCTCTTTTCATTGTAGCTCTCAGAACAAAATCCAAAGTGCATCCATTTTGGTTTAACATCATTAAGATTATTTCTCTGCCTTCTAGTTACCATACATGTTAAGATCTGAAAAATCCACTTTCCCAAATGTAGTTCTACGTCTGAGCATGTACGGCGAAAGCAGTATTCTTTAGCATCCACGTCTCAAGTGTTTGTAGGCCAAAAAAATCCTTCCCCACAAACACAATGCCTTCATGATTGAGAAAATAAAACCAAATTGAAAAATGGTTAGTTGCAAGTGATTTCTGCAAACTTTAGAACATTTCAACTTCATTAACTATAATGGGGGGGACAATTTTTGAGAAGATGTGCAAGGGCATCATTCACAAAGAATCATCTGAAGTCAGTGTTCCTTTCCTGCCCTTGCAAAGCACACTCCAAATGAAAAGAAGAAATCAAATATTCATTTCAAAACCATTCAGTACATTTCTTTCACTGCTCTTTATCTCAGTGACAAGACCTGTATCCTCCCTCACTGCGTCTGTTTTCCCTTCTATTTTTTTCATCATTTACTTGATTTATGTCTTCCTCCTCCTCTTGCAGTTCCAGCTGATCATCTCCCTGGTGTGGACAGCAGTCATCCAAAGCTTCCTGACATGCTTTCAGGTCAACACCCTTAAGACACAAAAAAGCTCTATTAAGCAACAGTGTCAGAATTAATCTTTAAAATGCATTTTTTTCTCTTTTTTTCACAGCTATAGCATTTCAAATAAAATATCCACTGAACAGTTCATTCATGTGGACAAACTGACTCTGTGTAGACTTTGGGAGCAGAATGAGACTGACATCAGTTCAGGAGTGCCGACGACACTGGCTCCTCTTTTGGTGCCAAGGCACTGAACCCTTCTGCAGTAGAAATGGACATTCATGAACACTGGAAACAAATCCTTCAAAAACAGACACATGATCATGTGATTTAACGGAAAGTTTGGGCCATCAGTGTCTTTTGTATGTAGATATCAACAACATATCCAAGCCACATATATACTCAGTGATGGTATCTTAAAATAGGCAATTATACACGGCCAGTTAGCAAAATCCCTCGCTTTCTTCTTTAGGAAAAAAATCATTAATTAACATCTTGTAACAGTACCTCTGTTTCCCCACCACTTCCATGAAGTCATTACTCAGTTCCTGTTTATCCAAATGATGGGTTTTTTGGTAACCTCCAGCAATGAAATTGTTCCAATTTAGTGGTCTCAGAAGCATTTTTCAAGTTATCTTTTATCTACAGTCATATCAGTAGGTTTTTTAATTTTTTATTATAGGGCTGGTATATTGCTAGGGTAAGAAGGAATCACTGCTAATGACTTTGCATATTTATATTTTATAAACTTTGATATTTCAGATTTTATAGGGCAAGTCTCAGTTATTACAATGTGCAACTTGGTGGAATACAATCCAGAAAACCAAGTGGCCCCACTTCATTAAGTTCCATATATCCCCAGCAAAATGCTATGGCCGGAGCTGCAAAGATAAGCTCTCAACAGCAGCAAACATAATGAGCTAGTGTTCTGTTCTAAAAGTCACAACAGATTTACTTTACAGTTTTTATACAAAAGCATAAACTATATAAAAACTGCACTTTTAACAGTCATCAAAACGTGCAAGAGATTTTTTAAAATTATGGCTTCATACAAAACACATTAAAAATTAAATACAAGAAGGTTTTAAAATAGGACTCCAGAGTAAAATCAAATATAACTGGAAAATAAAGTAATACTAATTTAATTAATTATATTAAAATTATTTTTTTAAAAAATAAAATTTTT